TTTTAATTAATATTATACGTATAAGATTTAAATTTAATTTCTTTAGAATTTTCTTATTAATCTTTTTATTTTAAAGTATAAAGCTTTATTTTAAGTATACTTTTAAGTGTATTCTTTAACTTTTTTTAAGAATATTTATTATTACTCTTAATATACTACTTTAATAGATTTTTATAATAGCTTATTTTTATACTTAAAGGGGTTTAAGAGTATTAAAAAAGCCTAATAAATTATAAAGATATTCTTACTTAAGCTAAAATAAAATAATATTATTAAGGGTTTTAAGAAAAAAAAAAGCTTATAAGAGTATTTATTTTAATATTAAAGCTTAATTATTTAATACTTAATTTCTTTATTTTAAGTTTAATATAGCTTAAAATATTTAGCTTATTTTAAAGAGAGATAAGCTTTAATATCACACTTTTTATTTATATTATTTAGCTAGTTTAATTAACATTTATTTCTTATACTTTTTTAAGCTAACCTTTCTTTTAGGGTTTTTACGTGATTTTATTCTTTTTTATAATTAAAAGTAATGTAATATAATTACGTATAATATTAAGTGTATTTATAAGATCTTTATTATTAAGCTATTAGTTATACTTATATAATTATTTCTTTTACTTTATAAGGTAATATAATTGTGTATCGCGTTTAGGCTAATAAAATAGCTAATAATACACTTATCTATAGTAATATAAGTACCTGGAATATAAAATTAAAGCGACGCCTTTTATATCTTATTAGACTACTCGTTAACCCGGAAAAGGGGCGATAATAGCTTAAGGCTTTAGATAAATGTAGTATTATAGGTATTAAGGCTTAGGTTAATAAGCTATAAGTTTAATTAAAGTAGCTTAAATTAATTGAAAGTTATAAATTATAGTATTTAGTGCGAGAGCATAATATCTTACGATTCTAAAGCCTTTTAATAGTCTCTTAATTACGTCTTCTTATAAATTTCTATATAAAGTAAAATAGTAATATACAAGTAGATTTCTGTAACGTAAGTAAGCTTTTAATCGTGCTAGCGCGAGCTTTTCTTATAAGGGCTATAAGGGCCACGTTAGGGACCTTTATTAATGTATTTAACCCATTTTTCTACTAATAATAAAGGTAGAAATTCCTGGAAAAGTAATAAAGGGGTTAATAAAAGTTATTAAATTTAAGCCTCGCGGTTAGGCATAGAAAAAGGGATAAAAAAAGGGCTAAAATCGAGCATAGGGTTAAAAGAAGGCCTTATCGTGCCTTTATTAATAGGCTACTTAATTTAATAGTATTTAAGGCAGACGAATAACGCATTATCGGCTATTAAGATGCTTGCAATATTACTAGTTAGCTTCGCTATAAATGCCCGAATTTTTAGTATAAGGATTTTAGTGTGAAAGGTTTTATAGCCGACCTTAATACTAAAAAGGTACCTGCTAGGTATCGCAGAAAAAGTGGGTCTGTTACAAAAGTGGCACCTTAGCGCACTCAAAGGGATAGCTCAACGCTCATTATACCCAGGCTGGTCACGGCTCGCAGAACGCAGATGTAGCCGTAAACCCTAGCATCTCCCTGTACACCGACGGCTCTGTTCGTATTAAGTGCGGTATAGGCTTAGGTGACCTCATTATAGATCCCAGCCTCTCGGATCATGGAGATGAAGATGTGATCTGCCTTGCGCATAATCTCGACTCGCTCACGGGTAACCTCGCTGATAATCCTGATCCCTAGAGCGGGTCCCGGGAAGGGGAGTCTGCTAATGAGCTCCTCATAGATCTGCAATTGCCGACCGAACACCCGCACTTCGTCCTTGAACAGCTCTCGAAGCGGCTCAAGTAGCTTTAACTGCGCCTCGCCGTTCTGCATACGAGCAGGGAGCCCTCCCGCGTTGTGATGAGACTTAATTGTAGAACTGGCGGCTCCCTTAAAACTTAAGCTCTCTATAATAGGGTGTAAAAGGTCCACGGGTACCCGTGTAGGTTACTTACCCGTGAGCTTTAAGTAGGTATAAGTAAGAAAAAAAAACTTAAATAAATTTATATTACTTAAACCACTTATATAATAAAACGGGTAGCCCACGAATAACCCAAGAAAAACTTAGATACCCACGGGTGCCCACGGGTACCCGTTTTTACACTCTACTCCACAATATCCGCATACAGTGTCCCCTGAAGGAACCACTCAACCTTTCCGGCACGAAGTGTGTTCTCTGCCTCTTTCTCAATACGGAGTGCCTCAATCTCGAAGAGGTCAATGAAAGTCCCGCCGATAATCTTCCTCTTAGCTTCAGGCTCCGTGACCCCTATAAGGCGGTCAAGGAAAAGCTAGGATCCATCCACCACTATGAGATTGATTTCTAGGTGCTTGTCTAAAGTCTCTTTGACTTGCTCGCATTCGTTCAGATGCATCAGACCTGTGTCAACAAGAATAGCGTGAAATCGGTCTCCAATAGCTTCCTTCATTAGCTTGGCAGCCACGCTGCTATCCACTCCCCCCGAAACCGCCCCAATAACCTGGGCGTTGTCGCCAACCAACTTTCGAATCCGAACGATCTCCTTCTTTAAGAAGTTATCCATTTTCCACTCTACTTAAGCGCCGCCGATCTTAAGAGCGAAGTTGGCAAGAATATCAGTCCCCCGCTCTGTGTGCGAGATCTCAGGGTGGAACTAGATGCCAAAGATCGGCATAGACCTATAGGTAATGCCAGTAAACTCGCTGTCCTTAGTGGTGGCAATAGTCTTAAAGCCGTCGGGCAAATGAATAACCTTATCGAAATGACTCATCACAACGTTCAAGGAGTCTCCTAGCCCCTCGAAGAGCCGATCGGCGTGGCTACCAAGCTTTCGGATGGCCATTAAGGTTTCCCCATGGAATAACACTATCAGCTCATCATCGCACAGAATCAAACGAGGGCGAGAGTACCAATGAGTTAATTACCAAAGCAGATGCCTAGCACGGGGACACTAAGCTTAAACACTATCAGATTTACACTTAGAGCGTTAAGGGAATACACGCTTAATAGTCCCCCGCTTAAAATAATTTTAATTGGTTTTTAGGTAAGATCTTTAAGCTTTTAAGTATAAGGTAACATCTCAGAGTACACCCCACGAGACCTAAGCCGTTACAAGATAAGATAACTGGTCTGATATCCTAAATCCAAGACGAGGACGGTGTCAAAAGTAGTATGCGGCAGCGCCGCTTCATCCGTGTCGCTCATTGTGCAAATGATATTTCTACTTAAAAGGTCTAAAGAAGAGAAGAATAAGGCTCTATATAAACAGTATATACACGAACCGTATGTCTCGCGATACACTAGCTACTAGGTAGGGTCGTGTGAAGACGATATTTCTGGAACTGTGCCTTGCTATATGTAGGTGTCAACTCGTCCCTCCTCTTGTACTTTGGCCTCGGCATCTTTGCCCAATGGTATCTCCGTCGCTTCCACCCGGCTGCTTTCATCAAGTACAACTACCTGGTCTCTGCAGCTTTGGACGGCGGCACGCAGGGCATGGTTTTCCTTCTCAGCTTTGCTGTGCTAGGTGCCAGTGGTAGGGAATACAAATTTCCGACTGATGCACTCAACAACGGAGGCACGAACAACAACATGAACATCGACTACTGTATGTTCAACACTGCGTCAGCGAATTGACAATCGCGGGTGGCTGGTGCCTTTCTTGCCAGGTTGGTCGGGGGCATGATCCCGTGCCGTATCATGACGGCCATTGCAGTGATACAAGTTGCTTGCATGCGCCGGGTGCCGAGTCTGTTGCGCACACTGGCCATTGGAATCCGCAAAACAACGTGTCATGAGAAACGAGTGCGAAGAATTGGACCAGGGAATAGTCTATTCTATGTAGAGTCTGAATTGCGACTGGCGTCGTAGCCAGGTTTCATCTGACCCAACGACGCATTGTGTTAAAGGCGCGAGCAACTTGGATGCGTAGTACTAAGATTTCCCATGTGCTTAAAGTTCCTGGCTTCTCATCCCGTGGTCCAACTCTAACCCAGCTTCCTCCATATTCACAGGTTCGGCGAGAGAAGAAGTGCAGCCACGGCAGTGAGCCTGACGAAGCAAGGGGAAATATCCAGCTGGCTTGTCGAGCTCGTATATTAAGCATCCGGGTAGCCAGCAGGGAAGGCGGCTCACATCACCTCGCCCAGACGACGGGCTCGGCAGGCGAAGAAACTGGTTGAGGTATTTGACGGGCCGATTTTCTGTGGGAAACTATCTGGTAATCTAACTGAGCTTTCGATAATGTAATTCGCTGCGGCACTATCACCTTAGGGTAGCGACCTACCTGACCAAGTACCATGCAACATGCTAGAACAGCAGAGTGATTACCATGGATCTGGTTTCTTATCTTTAGAAGCCTCCCGATCTACGGGCGCTTTCACTTACTCAGCTGCTAAGAAATCCGATTTCAAGGACAAGTACAGAAGGATATTATCTTTTTGGTTTCGATTTTAGCTTTTACGTAGATGTCGCTATCTATATATAATTTTTTTATCCCTCTTTTTTATCCCTTTTCCCCTTCAAATTCTCTATCCACACAGCCATGAAAGCGATTCACGCCATTGTGAATTTTCCATCACATTGAACCTGGGAAGTATCCGTGAGTGATTATAGTTGTTTCCAGACACTATAGTAGTATGGATAGGCTACACAATATTCGAGCACGGAGCTCAAGTTTTGTAGACAATTAACACTGTAATTTTTCATTTGGCAACTGATGTCGACATACGACCAGCCCAGGACATGGCTGCTCGCTGGCGGAGCGTCGGATCACCCTTGAACGACGACACATGACATTTCGCCCCTCGCCAAAGATTGTTGATAATTACACAGAATCTCTGGTCAGCGTGGAGTATGCAGATGAGAGGAAACATGGCCGCCATACAATCCACCCATGCAAGTTGGCAATGCTGGTTATTGCCGCACCGCTCCTGGGAATCCAGCACCGTGCGTTCGGGTACAGGTCCGGTTGACCCGTCACAACTTCCACTGTTATCAAGATTGACATTGCGTATGCAGGTTGATCTGCCGGGTGACAGTTCTGCGCCTCTGTCCCTCGGCACCACCATCATACCGGGTCTTCGGTTGCTTGCAAGCTTTCTGCTGCCTGCAGTGCAGCCGTAATCACAGGCCCAACTGCATGCAGACTGGGCCGTATTGTGCGGCGAGGCAAAAGGAAAATGGCGCGGGCGCCCGTCGCTTCTGGTTGCCGTAAAGGGAGGCAAACCTGCCGTGTTGTTTCGTGACCAAACCTTCCGGAGCGCTTCTGGATGAATCCTTGGGCCGCCGGTGCCACAGCCACCAAGCCACTCCCACGAGAAAACAAAGGTCCCAGATCGAAACCGAACGTGACCAAGACGCCTAGCTGAGAAATGAGCCGCTGGTGGACAGGGTTTGCTCCAAGTGTGCCCCAGGTGGCTTACAAGCCACCAAGTCGGTGCCTTGTGACGCGCGCAAAGAGCGACTGGAGCTGGCTGTTGTCGTGCTCCGATTCGGATGGGAACAAAATGATGCGCTATGGAGAGCAATTTGACGCCACACAATAGGTTTGTGTGAGTTGATGTCAAGATATCCCTGGTTGGCTTGACGAGTGGCGACAGGGAGCAGGACAACAAGCTGGTTTCGAAAATGACGCCATGAAAGGTTGCCTGCCGATCAAGGCACAGAGCTTGGCTGAACGGGGTGGCGCGTTGCAAATCTAACTTGTATGCAATGATACTCCCGTCACGCGGGTATCAAGGACGGATAAGGGGTAACTGGGGCTCTGCTCCGTGCGGTGGCATGAAGTGGATCGGACTAGAACGATGAGAGAACACTAGATGAATGACTGGGACCAGGAGTAGGAGAGCTAAACTCTTTTAGTGAGACAATTCTCGGGGCGCGGCTCGCATGGTGGCACGCAAGACCTCGTACCATGTTGTTGGCGTGAGGCCGGGTGGGCGAGGTGGCTTCGCAATACTGCACAATCGCATTACTGTAAGCTTTCCCCGGCGTAGAAGGAGTTGCATGTCTCAACACAAAAACAGGCAGCAAACTGTTTCGCGGAAGAAAGCCTGCTGTTGCCGCGTCATCCGTACGCTGTTATTATTGGCAAAGAAGTCTTGAGGTCCCGGGGCAACACGACAGAATCCCCTTCATATCCATCCAAACCGAGGAAAGACCCGTACGACAGTCTCGGCAATGCTTTTAGATTCAGGCAGCCTTCCTGTCCAGTCGAACAATGGCCGGGTGACCAAATCCTGTGCCGGGCTGGCCAAGAGCCAGGGATGTCATCACTCGCGTGGCACAGCCCCAAAACCAACACAAAGCGCCACATGTTTGGCAGTTAGAAACGAGCGTAGTATATTTTATATGCTAGGAATAGATACAGAAATCAAACGGCAGTCTCTCGGCGGTAGTCTCAACAGTATCCCAGCCTTGTTAACTTGATCCGTAAAGGCCATTGTAGAACCTCAAAGATATGGCCAGTAAGTTGGTGTGATGGACATCTGTAGAGACCTGCTAGAGATTTTGATAATTCAATGAACGAGTGTGATGGAAAGGAAGACGTAGCAAGTCTTCTGAAAAAGGCTAGCTACCTGAACCGAAACAGCGATGGAAGCAGAGACGGAACTCAAGTGCAAGCAAGCAAGCCGTGAGAGCTAAAGAGTTCCTGGCCCGGTGCTCAATTGTACCTGAGCAAGGTTAGCGCCGTGAAAATGTCTGAAGGGCTATCAAATGCCTTGCCTGAGTGGTTTCTAGGGGGACTCCGCGGCTGGAGACGACGTGAACGAGGCATTGACCAGAGTCTCCGACGACAAGTTGTAACTCGCACTCGTACTTCTGGTACCGAGGGAGTAGGACAAACCTGCTCTTCACCTCCGTCGGTGGACCGATGAGGGGGATAGGGACCTGATAGAGCACTTCCACACCCGCTGGTATTGTCAAGGAAGTCAGCATGTCTAAGAGTCTTGGTAAGTTCCGGCGGGATCGTAGGCTTACACTGTTGCATGTTCTCAGGGAGGTATTTTAGACTGCGTGAGGAGGAAACAATGCCCACGGTCCACTCTTCTGGATCGCCACTGGTAAAAGTTCTCGCGATTTTGAGACGAAATCTGTCATGGCGCTGGATCGTATCGCCCTTCTTGATCACCCACGCAACCTGCCCCTGGGAGTCTCTGCCACGTTGGCGGTTGTTGGAATCCACCTGCTCAGAAACGACTCCGTAACTAGCCCGTGCAACTCTGGGCCCAAACATAGCATTCTTTTGGTCGTGAAGGAGACCTCTGACCACGGCGGTTGGGGGATCACTGTATCGTACAAGCTTAGCTTCGCCGAGACATGGTCTTCTGCTCTTCAGCCACTCCAGAAACTCTTGCAGTTTTTCGAACACGTAGTCAGAGGCCCCCAGACCGCCTGATAGAACGATGTGCTTCTAACATACAACGGTTAATGCGCACACGGATGCTCGCGGACTGGTACTCACCACACATTTCCCCCCGACCTTTTCGAATTCGTCGACCGCCGACATAAAATGTTCCTGGATGCCCCGTAGTTGACAGTCAAACATCTCTTCCAACTCCTCTCTGCATGATGGTTAGCGCACGTCTCGTATTTGCAGGGCTCCTGGGACATATAACCTCTTGAACTCGGTCAAGGCATTCATCAACGGAATTGGCAGGTTGCCGAACGCATTGACGATAAGGTTTGTGTCAACCACGTTCTTTCTCTCTAAATTTTGTCCTGGGCCGTATTTGCATTTCCATGTTTGGAATTTCTTACCTTGCGACATTTCCGTGGCACACGCCTTTGAAATGTCTGGGGACTTGGTGTATTCCTCAAGGCGGGCCTCGACAAGTTTTTTGAAGGTCAGGTCAATCATTACAGAGCCTATTCCAATGGCTGTTGCGGGTAATACCTGCTCCATCATGACCGGTTTCGTGGATTGAAGCGTGACGAAAGCAAGGTCAGTAGTACCGCCGCCGGCGTCGATGGATAATACGGTGTCGCCTTCGGAGAAGGGTATATTCATCTCGCTAGCCGCAACCACGGCCGCCACGGATTCTGTCAACCCCAATCCCACTTTATGGTGAGCTTGTCCACCAAATCCAGCTTTAAGAGTCGTGTCCAAGAAGCGGTGGACGACGGGTGGACTCCATGTTCCCGGCACACTAAAGATGAAGTCGATTTCCCAGCTCTCCCATCCCCCGAGCCAGGGAAACCTATTCAGAATCTCACTAGAGATTCTCCGACTGATATGGCGGTAGACCTGGCAAAGATACTCCTCCACCAGAGCATAAGTCTCGGATGGGCTGTTCGGCGCCCACGGAGTCCCCTTGAGCAGGCCTGGGTCGCGGTCCAAGGACAGCTTGAGGAACCTCCACTTGCTGCTCTCGTCAAGGTGGTTACAGAGGAACCCCCACATTCTATCATTCTCAGTCGTTTCCTTGGCTAAGATGGTAGGGACTTTTTCGCCGTAGCCTCCGGGCCAGTCACGGACCGGAGTGATTTCGCACCCCTCTAATCCAGGTGCCATCCAATATACTCCTGTTTCAATGTTAGAAAATCCACGTGGTGACTGGTAAGGACTGCCTTGTTTAATAACCTGTAAAGGTGGTGCCAAAATCGATGCCGACGTATAAATGAATTCGGCCAGATCCGGCATCGGCGCGATTGGACATGTTGGAGTAGTCTGCCACACGCAAGAAGATGCAATTTCTTTGATGGAACTCGAGATTTAGGAAAAAGAGTTGCAGATGATGACCTGAACAAGATGAATGTTTTAAACAAGCACAATCATGGTGTGCTCCAGAGCGGTGAGAGCTCACGCGTTCCGTCGGTCATGGCCATGTCGTTCCGGATACTAGAGCAAGCAAACCTACGAGGCGGTGTCTGGAATTTCTCACACCGGGAATCAAGTATATGTTTGCTTCTTAAGCGAATCGACTACCGTGACATGCTTCTGCCGAGTATCCAGAGCCCGGGCATATGCGATGTCAGCCGCTGCATCCATGATTCAGCCAGACGGCTCAACCCTAGTCTGTCTCACGGTCGTACTACCACACAACATCCATCGAATTTGCACGAGCTCCTACTCGGTATGCGGGGCGTTGATGGCTAATAATAGTTCCTTTGTTGACATTCACATTCAACAATTCAGAGTAGTCCGTGGTGCGTGCACGGGTGTGGTCAATACGCACAGCCACGTCAAACCGTGGCCCTTTTGATCAATCTATTAATACTCGGGCATGCCTCTCAAGCTCGCGGCCTTCATTTCCAAACTCCAAGCACCCGAAGCTGTTGTAACTATATATTCGCAGCTGCGCCCTTTTCACCATAGCTGATTTCTTGCATAACCCCCCTCACTCATCCTCCCCCCCTACGGTTCTGCTACACGACAACAGAAGCATTCACTGCAATAGCCAGCATGTCGACTTCCATCCGAGACGGTGGAATAGGAGCAGCAGTAGGAGTCATTATTGGCATACTGCTGGGTGCGGCTTCTGTCTGGTTTTACTTTGTAAAGCAAAGACAGGCCCAGATTGTGCCTCTTGAGGTCACTACGTTCCGTGAGCGCATTGAGCAGGAGCTCAAAATTCAGGCTGAGCCTCCCAGGAAGATGAAGCAGGTAGTGAGCGGGCTCGAATTAAGTTGTAAAGAGGACGGGTCTCTCCGGTTAGCCCTCGGAATGGCATGCGTGCCTTTCGCAAACAATGCTCCGACCTTCTACCACACGGAAAAGCTCTCAGAGGTCCCCGACGCTTTTGAAGAGTCTCTCAGGCGTCTTTGTCTAGACGAAGTACTTACTGAAACCCTCAAGGACCTACTCCTTGACCCCAAGACTCGCCTTTTTGCAATTGTTCATTTGCAAGTGCGTGTGGTATTCTCCAACCTGGATATTCACACCATCGGCCCTCTCTCTCTTCTTCCCTCTTTCGTCACCGGGTTCATTCAGTCTCTCCCCCTTTCAACTAAATCATACACTGGCCAGAGCAAAAAACACGGTAAATTCTCCCCTGTATCCGCATCAAATTGTGTCTGATTTTGCTAACCACCCATGCACCACGCAGGCCTTTGTCCATTAACACTCTGGAGAATATTGACTGTATACTCCATGACTACGGACAAAATTATTGGTCCCGGACCGGCCATTAAGCCAGCAAAGAACCTTGAGCCGCAGATCAAGAGAGTCGTCAATGCACTCGCAGATGTCTTGGATGTTTTCGCCAAAGAACATGACGGCAAGGGTCCCACGCATCGGGAGGAAATTGACCTTGCAGTTCGCGACGCTCTCGGGGTTGGCTATGAGATATTTTCTCATAGGTTTGAATGGCAGTATTCATGGGACCCAGAACCTACACGAGACGGAATCACTATAACACCAGGCCTGCTCCAACTCTGCGACCAAGATGGTATGTCGCTCTGGGAACCAGAATTGATGGAGGGCCTCCCAGACCTTAGAATACCGGGAAAGCACCCTTTGTGATGCCCTGCAGTCCGAATCCGCCAAACAGACGGGCATCACAAGAAATAGGTTTCTGTCGGGATGAGTCTGCATCGGCAAAGGGGCTGATTTGCACCGGTGGGATGGGTGTAGCTATGTAGTAGCTACTGGCCAGGGGTGAAATAGTGACAGTGTTCATCTGTACGGATTGATTGTGTGATTTTTGTTTTGTATCCAAGACTTAGTTTACATTCAACTGAATGCGTCACAAAAATGCACGAGTGTGAGCTCGCCGCTTACTTTTGGTATCATGTGCTGCTCTGGTTTCTCGTCATTCATCTCTGACTCTTCCTTTGCCATCACTTGACTGATTTTTTTTTTTTTTTCAAGTTTTAGAGTGTTTTTTGTTTCCATGCAAATAATTGTGCAAGCACTACATCAGGTAACACAATGTGGTGGCCGTACCCAAGCCAGAGAACCGCAACAAACCACAAACCACGTAATACAACATGAGAATTGGTTTTATTTTCTTTAAATAGACACAAGATACATATTCAGAAATAACAATCTCTCTCAACTAAGAAAAAAAATGGAACACAACATCAACCGTCTCCAACCCTGTCGGATCTTGTGTCTAGGTCTACAGGATAAATGTCGACATGACTTCCTCAGGCCCGTGAGGCCATCCGAAGCTAATGACCCATGAAAGAATTCAAGCGCTCAAGACCCTCAGCCTCCTTCTCGACCATTTTTACCCTCTGTCGAAGCATGTCAGCCGCCTCTCGGCTTGCGGCGTCGGTCGCCATCCGTTCCAAGGAGCCGATCTGAAGTAGCGCCTTGTCATACTTGTCAACCATGTCTGGAAGGTGCTTTTTGAACATTTTTCTGTCGTGGGACAACCACTTGATTTGATTGAGAATGCTCTTCAGCGGCCTCTCTGGGTCTTTGACGCAAGACTCGACCCCGGGTCTCACTCGATCCAGTGCCGCTTGAAGCGCAGCGATGGCGCCGTCCACGGCCGTTTGCGCGCCGGCATCATTCTCCAGGAGCTTCTCATGCTTCGATTGCAAGTCCATTAATGCTTGCAATGTCTGGTTGCACTCCTCAAGTGTCGACTCAGCAGGTCCGACGGAGCGACGAGCGAGGACACCCAGGGCACGTAGATGCGCGGCATCCATGAGGTCTCTGCCGGGAACTGAGCTGGATTGTGTGCTTCCAGTAACGGCCTTCGTGACCCCAGATCCCGGGCTTGGGCTTGCATCGTCGCTTCTCCATGTCTTGGTGTTTCGGAGGGCCGCGCCGTGAGTGCTAATGATGTGAGGCAATGCGTCTCCGACTGGCGCCCTAGTTGCTGCATTCGCGGATTCTGCTTCTGGATAGAGCGAGAGCATTGAGCTGCGCGGTTTGGACCGTTCCATCATGTCGTCAATGGACTTTTTCCAAGATCGCGACTGTTCGCTGTAGATTGTCGTCAGCACTCGCAAGAGATGTAATGAAAAACGGCAGCGACAGCCTGCATTGAATGGTGGAATTGGTCTGAGCCGCGACTAGATACGGATGTCTTGATCACTATTTTGACGTGTCTAGCCGGTCCGATGAAGCCTCACACGGGAAGGCTAGTCGGTTGAGAAATCGGGGGATTTGTGCCGAATACCAAATTTGCATCCATCATCGTGACCGTAGGCAAAGCAAGAGACCACATGGTACTTACATATTCAGTCCCTGGAACATGACTTCACAGGAACTCGTAAACGTTTGCAGCCGACTTTGAAGACTAGCAAGCTTTTCCTTGCCGTAAATAGTCCACTTTGCCGAGTTTGCAAGGAATTCGCGCTTGAGGTCCTCCAGGTCATTCTGGACGCAGAGGCAATTGTCAAGCAACAAGGGTACGTTCTTGGCCAGCTCGGGGTGCATTTCCTGGTCCCTCTGAAGGAGTTTCAGTTGCACTACCAGAGACTTCACCCCGTCGCGCACGGCATACAGATCAGGGCACTCATCACTTATCAACAAAATGACTTGCTTGGCGGCCTTCACGAGCAGATTAAGGATGCTGCAGCTGGCGGCTGTAGCGCCCACGGCCTCCATTGATCAGGATCCTTTGCGTACTTGACGCGATTCCCAGCAAGAGTATACAATGAGCGTAGGTTGGTTCAACGTCGAGATGTGAAGGGGAGAGTTGCAGGAAAACGAGTTGCTTCTGAGCGACCATCGGAATACTCGCGGTATTTATGCCTCGTCTGAGCTAACAGCGAGCGTTGGTCAGGTGAAACTGGGCAGACGAGATTTTGAGCGCCGATATGATTGAAGCCATCAATGATGTCGTCCCCCATCACGTACCATGGTCACACCGGCCGAGGTGCACCGACGCTCAGGGGCAATTGCTGCCCGTCCGCCTCAGCCGACAGCCTGCACGCCACAAAACCAGGCAGCGAGGATTTCCGTCCACCGCTTGCTTTTGGAAATCCTCTGATTTTCTAGAATGTTCCGTGCGAGTACGCAGAGGCTGGGAGGTGCCGGTGTTCAGGGGTATTCGCGACTCCTCTCAGCCGAGAGCAAACATTCACGCCACAAAGCCAGACAGCGGGGATTTTCATGCATCGCTGCTATTGGAACTGAATTGGTTCTCTAGCATGCTCCGTACGACTATACAGAGGCTGGGAGGTGCCTTGTTTTGTTAGAATTTCAGCATGACATGTAGTTGGAATAGTTGTAACATGTCATGTTCCAAAAGTCCTTCCGCACAACACAATGTCGTTATGCTGAGGAGAGAGAGAATGGACACTAGCCAAAACTTCCACTGCAGCCAAGGTCCTCCATCTCAAAGGGCCAAATCCAATCTCTTGCCCAAGAAGGTCGACCAGGAACAAAGTTTGCTTGATCATCGGCCTCTCCGTGATAGGTTTCGCCCCAGGCTGCGGGAGCGATCCGGCGGCCTTATTTTCCATACTGAAACATGATATTGCCTAGGGTCTTCCAAAAAAAACAGCCTCCTATTTTTACTTCCGCGCTCACCTCGCCGTTTGGTGGATCGTGCCCCCCGACAATCTCTACCTGCTCGTTTCGTTCCAGTGTATCAGCGACGCTTGACCCATCATTGCCCGGTGTGGAAAACCTTGCCCTTGTGTGCTGTCGGTCACAACGAATCCTTCCCGGCGTACTGATGAGTTTGGATGGCAAGGGAGCATTAGTCGAAGCCGTTGAGTCCACAGCGGCTGTCGTCTGTGCGCATCTCGTGTCTGCGTGGAAAACACACATGAGTATTGAAAAAGGGACATGGGTACAAGATGCCCAGTTGTATTGAATACGGGCTGGCTCTCCAATTCATCATTCACCATCACTACACGGGTAGTGCAAAATGAGAGGCCATGTCATTGTCGTTGCGTAAGCATGCATTCACTCTTGTCGATCTCCCTCGGACAGCAAACTACTCCTATGCTTGTCTCAGCCTGTCGATGTATGGGCGTTGTAGTTCTTGTATCTATTGATTCATCCTCATTGACAACAGCACGATCAAATTGCTGCCCACAATGCTGTGGACATTATAATCGTCATGCAGACTGGAGCCACCGCGCCGACACATGCTTATGGATAATATCGAATGGTTATGTTCTAGGTGACTTGCATGGAATTGTCTTTTTGGCACAGCTCTGGCAGCACGCAATATGCTATTCTGGCGTGGTTTTCATCCCTGGGCAAAGGTTTCAGCAACATGGAAAATACTGGTGTAATTGCTTCATCCTGCTACTTCCATTGGCAGAATAACCAAAGATTATGGAGCGGCATAGAAAGACTCGGGGATACCACCAGCTTACAATACTGCTGTGGCCTATTTCTTTACCACGTAAGCTTTATCGCTCGGAGCACGCGGGGTTCGTAGTTTTTTTTCCATATGCGACTGGAACGCATACAGTGTCGGGGGGCGCGGCAGGCATCACAGCTACTGGCTCTGTCGTTTATCCTTTATTGATGACCGTCTAGACTGAAATAAATCTATTCCTCGTCATGGAACCGAGTCCCCCGCACATGTTTCTCATTGACTTTCATCTGCGTTCATGTCTTATCATCGTAGCCCATGCCTGACTAATTCCTGGGTTCCTTTTGAATCTGCATATCCAATGCGTTTTGGAGCTGGCCAGGTGGAGCATCTTCCCTCTCCATAACAACCTCAATCATGGACAATCCCCGCGTGTTATTCACCTCGTCATTCCCAAGAATAGTCTTCAGCTCGGCCCAGGTCCTGGCAGAGGCTGTGTACGTGTCCTTTGGGGCACCGAAGAAGCTCGGCGCCTCGAGGTATCGCCACCTGGCAACATCATTATATCCCTGCTTCCTGCCGTGGATGAATCTCTCGATAGAGTATCCATCGTTGTTGATGAGCACAATCACGACGTCAAGCTCGTGCTTGATCATGGTTGACATTTCTTGCGCCGTCATTTGAAAGCTACCATCGCCGATAAACAGGATAGTCTTGGCCTTTTTTATTCCGTGCCATTTTGAAGACGCAATGAGCTCCTTCTGTGCGAGCGCAGCGCCCTGAGCGGCTGGGAGCATGTAACCAATCGACAACCATGTAACGTGGTTGAAAACGCGGCAGTGTTTCTGCATTGGCATCTCGCGGACGCCGAATCCAGGTGTCCCAGTCTCTCCCATCACGATATCTCCAGGTTGAATGAGATTCGCCAAGATCTTCCATACCTTGTCTTGCTTGATGACATCGTCACCGGGGGCTGATGATGGCGCAAGAAGGTCGTACTTGGGCAGCGCGGGGAAGGGGTTGTATGATTTGATCTTTGACACATCGAGTTCCTGGAGCAGACGGGCTAGGACCAGCTTGGCAGACACATCGCGATACAGTTGCGAACCAATTCTGATGCCGGAGGCGGTGAACTCAATAGCCTCTTTGCTTTGCGGGATACTGCTCCACATGTAGGTATTCGTACCGCTGTAGTGAGGACCAAAACAGAGTGCCAAGTCGCTCTCTTTCACAAAGTCATGAACGGCCTTGGCTCCCCACTGTCCCTGGTAGACGCCAATAAAGTTGGACTCTGTCTCGTCCATCAACCCCTTTCCGAAAGGGGCAGTCAAAGTTGGCCATTTCGTCGTTGATACAAACTGCTGCACGGCGTCGACGATGCGGAGAGGCCTGGTTTCACCATCGACGTAAATGATGGGTTGCCTGGCGGCTTCGAGTTTGCCAATGACTTTGGCAAGGACTTCATCCAGGTTGGCAGTAGGTTCCGGCTCCGGGACCAAGATTGGCGTTTGCAGTCTCTCGGCAGAGACAAGGGCGTTGACCATGTCGACTGGGAGCTCAATGTAGACGGGGCGACAGTGCAACAGACACTTGGCAAGGGTGTCATCAACTTGCTGGGCGCTTGTCAAGGGGTCCCAGAGTCGCGTCTGCGCGATGGTGACCTGTGCATGCATTTGCGAGAATCTCCTGTACTCGCCATCGTTCAAGGTATGGTGCATGAGCGTGTGCGCTTCTTGAATGTGTCGGGCAGGGGTGCCAACAATGTGGACCACGGGGGCAAACTCGGCATAGGCGCCGGCAATGGCGTTTATTGCAGACAGCTCTCCCACGCCAAAGGTGGTTACAATAGCACCGAGACCGCTGATCCTGGAATAGCCATCGGCGGCATAGGCAGCGTTGAGCTCGTTGGCGTTGCCCACCCAGTTGAGTCCTGCGGGCTCCACGTGGTCCAGCATCGTCAAGTTGAAGTCGCCGGGAACGCCATGGACTGACTCGACGCCCAGTTGGCGTAGCCGAGTGAATAGATACTCTGCAAGCTTGACAGGCGCCATGGCAAAGCAGAGAGAAAACACACGTCGTCGAGCTGTGCTGCTGTCTTGTTTATGCGTCGGCCTTGGAGAGTCTAGTCCGGGGTAGATGCGTGGTTGTAAGAGGCAAGATGGGCTCGAAATACACAATTGGAGCTTGACTTATAAAGGATCCACTGACCCAGCCAAGTAGTCCTTCGGGGTCTTTGACCGGCTTGCGGCGGGCCTATTTCGGAATTTGGCCGCCGCCCATTGGCCAGATGCGCCTCGGCAACGATCCACCTCGGCTCTTGCGGCAGAGCCGGGGAAGTTGGGAGGGAAGGCGAGATCCAAGGGCGTGCGTGCTCAGTTCAATGCATGTCAATACATGTTGCATCTTGTCAAAGCGACATGTCGTCCGTATATGGCATGCTCAGAGATGCGCTGCGCACCAGCGACTCTGTTTCCGTGCACGAATCTGGTTTTGGCCCTCGCGCATCAATCCACACACTGCGCTTTGTGCTCTCCTCTCCCGAGGCAAAACCGTCGTGGTTGTCTGGGGCACACTTCTGTTGCCGAGGCGGAGCCAGTGCGCCAGCTCGGTCCAACTCACCGGAGCGGGGGCGCGGGTGTGAACATTGGACTTGCATAAAACATGACTTAGTGCCATCTCACTAGCCCGACGTCGGACTGCATGCTTGCGGCCTTGTGCGGCCTTTACTCGGTGTGTAGAGGTCGTGCAAGGTTGTTCTTCGCCAGAGCAATATGCCGCGCTGTGCGCAGGTATCTCTCATTACTCAGATTCAATTCATGTATGACCGGCCTGCCCAATGCTTTTCACTTGGCTTGTACCACTGCCAAGCCCTTCTGACTACCTACCTAGGTAGTGACTAGTTATGCCCCACACGTTCAGGAGCCGAACCGGGTCCGCCCCTTCCCTGAAAGTCCGGTGGTGGGGCAATTCATGTCCGGAGCCACGTGAGCTGGCAGCCCGGTCTTTCCGTCCGATGGGGGAACCTAAACCCCAGGAGCCAGTCTTGATTGACATTCTCAGACACATAATGTTTGTGCCCGTTTTCCTACTGCACTTGTTCCTTTCGCCTTGCATACGACCTGCCATCTCACTTGATAACTGACGGCCCCGTTTCCTGATGAATTGCCCGCCTTCCACCCACACTTGGGCCCGTTCTCATTACAGCCACAACACGGTTCCTTTTCTTGGTCATGTCTGGCCGAGGCATCGTAGACGGCATTCCAGAAAGATTGTATCGGCGACGCAAGGCGCCAACTCGTACAGGTTCGGCAGAGTTACAGCGGAGGGCCATGTCTGACGATCCGGCAATCGCCGAAGCATCTTCCCTTCCCCTGCGTGTGTCTGTGTGCGTCTCCCCGGGAGCATCTGTACTATTCGCCAGAGCCTTGACAGGATCGTCATGACTTTCGACCTCGAAAGATACCATAAAGTCGGTAAAATTGTTGTTATCCCAAAATTCCAGGTCAATTACACGATAGCGAATACAGAATTCCAACCTGTTGCTTCCCAGGTGGCTATAATCCCATATAGGTATGGAGAAGCGGAATGAGTCTCTGTCTGCGCCCACGTCTGGCGATCCGATGGACTCGAGGTAGTCGGCAGCTACCTCGGATTGGGTTGTCCAATTGTCCAGTGTAAAGCGACAGGTAACGTGTTCCTCAAAGGCCAAGTTCTTCACGTTTACAACCCCAACTACTGCCGTTGCATCGCCCAAAAGGCGCACTTTTTCCAGGTATACATTGGTCTCGGGGCTTCTCGAAGTTGCAGAGCATCTCAGGTTTGAGTCACCCCCGCCGGTACTCAGGACGAACACCGATGAGGCATCCTGCAGGGTTGCCGTGAGTCGTTTGCCGGGGAGGCATCGGTTGCCCGGAGGAAGCTGGCCCACAGCCCGAGGATGGTCCATCTTGCGGAAAAGTCTAACATTTTCAAGCTCCTCTTTGAATCGCACAACCTTTTTCGCCGCATGTGTCTTTGCAGTGGTTGCGCTCGATTCGAGCAAGGGTCGTACTCGGCTGCAAGTCGGCACGTTAAGTACCGGGTCTCGTCTTCCCACATAGTTACCTCCGTCATCATGGTCCTACTAGACAGTAAGCTCCTGGTCCTATCGCCATGGCTCATGACTTACGTGAGCTGTAATCGCTCCCTTCGTATCCAGCGTCAATTGAGAATTGGGATGCGTATATGGCATGTCAGAAAATTTGATCTGATGCAAGACCAAATGTATGCCAAGCTCTTTAGGATATAGCGTGTCTGGTTGATATTATCGGCTAGCAAAGGGAATGTGAATACAGGTGTAAACGGGTTGTATGGAAATGTGTGCAAGAGCCACACCATTTATCTACCATGGACAAAAGGGCAACATTGAAATGCTGTACCGTCAGCTTTGAAGACGAGTTCATCCCTGATATCCCCCCTCTGCCTAGTGCCAGGGAAACCCGTAGCAGTCCCACGGAGATAAATAGCGATCATTTGATCCTGATGGCCTGTGGCGCAGATAAACACGCTGGATTGGTCGCCACCAACGACATGTCACGACACGATCACCCCACCGCCGGCTCACCGTCTTGGTGGCCTGACACGTCCTGTATAGCCTTCCGCAGCGTACTAGACTGCCAATGATGGGAAAATATGGCATGTGGAAGAAAGGTCTCGTGACAAGTATGGTGATCTTGCGAGATGTAATCTGAAAGTCAAAAATATTTCCATACATAAATGAGCCTTGAGCTCACCTCCAGTTGGCGAGACGTATCAAATCAATAATACATGATGCACTTCACACAGAAACAACTGTACGTACCTTTTGACCCGTGTAGCAACTTGCCATGGAAAAGCAATACTAACGAGCATCGTAGCAACCATGAACAACAAAACGCTCAACCACACTTTGGTCGTGAACAGCAGGCCAACTACTCCTGTCCACGGATCTGCAAAGCAAAGAGCGACTTCGGGCGACGGGTCTCGTACGCCTCGTAGTCATGCATACGCCGTAGCCATGAGCCTCACCGAGGGTTGGCAGCCGACGGCGCAGAATGAGGCGCACTTCAACATGGAGGATGAAAAGCATCGATTACACACGGCCCTGTGCAGTACAGTCGAAGGCCGGGGTTTTCTGAACAGTCCACAGCGACTAGGAAAGCGAAAAAGAAGAAAAAGTAGGCGCCAGACACAAAATAGGCGCGGCATGGCGGGAAATGCCATTGGGAATGGTGACATCTTTTTATGAAGTTCTCCGTGTGCCGGCGGTTTGTCCACGATACAGATGGCACAGTCTTTTTTTGACTACAATGAATTGAACGCTATTTGCAACATTGGCAGTCAACTGCCTCCCCAATCTCCCCGCGCCAGAACATCATGAATGGCGTGCACCGGGTTGCACGGATATGGGCGGAGGCTTTCGGCAGGCACAAGGCTCGGTGGCGCTCCCGGATCGCCCAAGCTCAAGAGATTAAGATTCAGCTTTGAAAGTGGACTACCGATACTCGGTCGAGGAGTCTTTCCATCGAAAAGCCAAACACTGCCAAGCCCCAGCCGCTTGCAGAGTGGCAGAGTGGCCGTCTCTACGTGGACGGGAGCACGAGTTCAATGCTGCAACGCCATCTCCTAGCCGTCGCTTGACCAGAGCGACCTTTTGATGTCCACTACCCACATCAAGTTGCTGCTGGTTGATGTGTCAGCTTTACTTGGGATTGGGCCCTAGCTAACAATCTTAATGGCACAATTACTCACTCTACTGGTACTGGACCTGAACTATGTGCTGGCAGCATACGCCGATGCATCCATTATGCGGGGATCCAAGTTGGTTTGATACTTTGGTTTCCCTTTGACAGCGTGACTTTACGCTGCTCAAATAGGAGACATCAACACCATTTCTTGGCTTGTATTATGACTCGGTCTATTGGCTTATGGGGTTCACGTTGCGGAATTGGCACTCACCCAGAAAGCTTCATTCGTGTAAATCAGCCAAACACTCAGCCATATGTCACTGAAACGAGCTGGCCGTTGAGAATCGACCGTGGTCCAGAGATACTGCAAGGGTACTACAGTTAGGCTGCGGGATTCTGCGCCTCGGTAGGACAAAGGGTAGTTAAAGGACGCCGCTGGGGGCCATGGTCGCTAAACAAGGCCAAGATGAGCTTGTCTCAGTTGACATCGTCATTACCCAACCAGGTCCGATGCCAGCGTAAGCCATTGCCATAGGTGTAAGCAAAGCTGCTGCTGCCGCTGATCAATTCGAACCTTTTGAAGCTGTGGATTTGAGCCTGTTGAACCTGTTGACTTTGACCTCATTCAAACTTTTTATTTCTCCCTCCGGGGGCCGCCTGCGGCACTATCTCGCGATATTGCTTGTGGTGTTAAGGTGCCTACGGCCTTCAACACTAAAAAGGCAAGATCGCGACGATCTGCAAAGATACGTACCGGCACTGAAATTCGAGCCAATGATAGTAATTCAAGGTCACTTAGACCAGTTCAAAGTTAGGTTTAAACTACACGAGGCTTGCGATTATCATAGCGCAGCACTTGGGGACTCTTATTAAAAAGTAAAGCTAGAAGGTATATTTCATCTCTTTCCCGCTTTGCCCAATAAACTCACTTTTTGCAACCGTATATTCACAGTTAAACTACAGTAGAGCCACGGCATTAAAGCTAGCCCATCTCAGTAGTGATCCGATTGGGGCCAAAATTCTATGGCTCATGCTACTTTTTACGGGATTGGGAATACTACCGAGCAGGCTTGTTTAAACAGTACCCGACCTATATTTCCGAAGCCTTTGATACATTATTTTAATCAAGATGTATGAATGAGGTTCCATTAGGAACTGAAAAGAAACTCGGTATCCACGAGTCTTGAGGAGGGGAAACATGTGATGCTGCTTGTGAGGACAGCACTGGTGATGGGTGTCGAAATGATTATGTACGATAGTACTAGACGATTCGATCTCCAGAATCCTCTTGACTCAAATGAGTTGAACCATTTCGATTGATAGAAGGCCATCATAATAAAAGTAGTAAAAAAACTAACTAAGAATTGAGGCCATTGCCGAGGCAAGTGGAAGCACGTGGTTGGTTTGAGACCTTGGGAGTCTACATCAGCGCAACTCCCCAATCAGTAGCCTCTTCTATACACCATTGAGCTTATCAACCCTCTCGGACAAGGTCACGCTGTTTTGCGGATCAAAAAAGGGCCTCTCGCCGTAGACGGCAGTACGTTTGCCTTCCCGTAGTTCAGTGTCATACCCACCAGGGACGGCCTTGTGAACAACAACTCTGTTATCCCAGAAGGCCACCGCACCCGGTGTCCATTTCCAGCGAGCTGTGAGATCCTCGGCACTGAGAAGGTGCTCTCGGAGGAATGCAAGAAGATGGTGGGATTGCTTGGCATGTAAACCATCAATACGGTCAATGAAATTCGGGTTATAAAACAACGATTTGAGCCGAGTTACTGGATGTGTCCTGACCTAATAGCCTTTGGTTAGAGTGTACACCAATCCAATTCATTTCCGTACCATTGAACTGCCTTACTAGAGGATGGACCGTTGCAATCGGTGCTCGGTGCGGTGCACCTCCGCCGTTGATTGACGCGAGATAGCTCCTCTGCGTCTGACATTAGCTTGTGGCCCTGACTGACTTGAGAAAATCCAACTCTTGCACATACATCTGACGAGTGCACGGCGTTTAGGCCTTCGAGAGCTTTCTGGAATGCCGGACTCAACTTATCGAAGAGTGCAGTCTGGCTGGAGAATAGAGTGTCGCCGCCGGTCGGTGGTGTCCTCACGAGGCGAAGCAGCGTGTAGGACGGTGGGTTGAGCTCAAATGAATGGTCGCCGTGCCATTCTGCGCTGGAATTCCCATGCGCCCGGATGTTCCTGGAAGGGCAATCAGATAATGATGGTTGCTCACTTTGTTAAGCGATACTCACCCACCACGGCCGATAATGGTTACGTGCTTCGGATCTTGTTGATTTGGATCTCTGTCTTGCTATTGATGATATAAGGTTTGGGTATCCTGACGGCACATGGGGTAATGCTTACAACGCCATAGTACGATGCGAGTTCATGCTGTTGGTCAAGGGTTATGTCTTGGTCGCGGAAGAATACGACGCCTCTCTAGACCTCATCAGCATTGACCTGAGGCATAGTGTGGCTTCGAATGCCTACCTCGGCGACGAGAAGTGCCAGCTCGTCTTTTTGGGCATCTGTCAATTTGCTCAGCTGGACACCTTTCAATTCGGTGCCGATATAAGGCGTAATATCTTCAATTCCCGTAGCCGCTTTCAATAGAGATGATTTTGTCGGGTCAGCAAAGAAAGCACGGTCGCGAGGAGGAGTGACCTCTTCCAAAGGAGGGTCTGGCGGTTAATATGCCAACACAGCAGGGGATATGGCACTCGCGACTGCAGTCATATTATTGGAGATGTTGGAGTAACTGCACGTGAATGAGACGTAACGGGAAATCACTTGAGCCCTTGATGTGTATTTTCAACTGCGGTACTTGCAGCGCGGTTGCCTATTTAACAACGTGGAAGAACTGATGAAGTTTCTTAGCACCAGACTTCTCCATAGTAGCGACGTGTGTTCTCTCTCTTCTCTTCTCTTCTCGCCATGCAAGTCAGACATCACGACAGAACGCCACAGACATATCACATTGCCTATTGAAAATTATCTAGCCAATATTGATTTATAATCAAAGGGTAGTGAGCCGTCTGCGAAAGGGCGTGAAGGCATCTGTAAAGTGATTGCTCCCTCGCTAAATTAATGCATCTGATAGGGTGAAGTCGGAGATGTACTTTACCAATCCTAGCCGAGAGTTTCGATCCCGTCACTCTCAGGGGTTGGGGTTTTCTTTTTTTGGGGGGGGTAGGTTGGTGAGAGATATCGTGGAATCAAAAATCGGGTTGTTTTTTTCCTTCGCTTTTTCCCCATCCCACGAACCGCCAGGTAGAAACCTTAGCAGGTATCAATTTGGCTATAGCAGCCGAGGAGCCACTACGGATGAGACGTAACCACGTGCCGGGGACAAGGATAGCGTCATTAGGGGCGTCAATCACTTCACTTCCTAGTCTGCATCGCCTGGGATCATTTAGCCGGCAGGTACCCGCGGTAGGATCCTATAGGACAAGAGAAAATGGTATCATTTTAAGACAAGAGACGTGCTAAATATTGACCAATTGTTTTTCAAAATTTGTCACGAGTAGGTGGCTGGGAAAAAACAACATTCAAAGGCGTCTATCATTTCAGTCGGGAGAGAAATAGTATACAACGGCCGGCACTCTTCATTTAGCATGCGCGCAGATGCCGAAAGATAGATAAACAAACAGGTGCCTATTCGCGAACTTGAACAGATCTTTTGTTTTCGTCAACAGCTGTTGTCGCTGAGAACCACAAGTCAGACCAGAGTCTTCAACATGACCTCCAGGCTGGATAAAATAGCCAACCAAATTGAGGAAACTAGATTGTCCAAAGACGATGAAGTGACGAACAAGTCTGATGGCGCATCAGCCAGCGGTGCCAGCCACGTGTTTGATGCAAAGCAAATCGACCCAGTCCTCGCACGGAAAATGGCCTTGGTAAATGCAGCAATCGACGAGATTGGCATGACGAGGTTTCAATGGAAGTTGTTTTGGCTCAATGGATTCGGATACGCCGTAGACTCGGTATGTTCGTCATGGCCCTCGGAGCTGACGGAAACTGACGCGCGGCAACGTGCAGCTTCTAGTCGTGTGCCAATCAATTGCCAATCCCGCTGTTCAGCAACAATATGGGCGACCGAGTGCTCACATTTCCGGCATTCCAATGGCGTCGCAAATCGGTCTCCTTGTCGGCGCCGGCCTCTGGGGCTTCTCGGCAGACGTCATTGGAAGAAAGCTTGCGTTCAATACCAGTCTTTTTTCTTGTGCGGTATTCGTCATCATTGCAGGCGGCATGCCGAGCTACATTTCTTTCGCATCTCTGTACGTGTATCAATCTCCCCGTCATGCACCCGAAGCTGACCGTGAATCCAGCGTGGCGCTCTACTCTGCAGGTGCCGGCGGGAACTACATTATAGATGCCACCAACTTCTTGGAGTTCCTGCCCACCAGCCATGCGTGGCTAGTCACCTTCATGGCCGTCTGGTGGGCGGTTGGTTACATGATTACCGGTTTCCTGGCATGGGCATTCATGAGCAACTTCAGTTGCGCGCCAAAGGCTACGCCAGCAACATGTTCCACCTCGGATAACATGGGCTGGCGATATTTGCATTTCACCTGTGGCGCATTGGTCTTCGTCTTGGCACTGGCGCGGCTTGCCTTTGTCAAGATGGTGCAGACTCCGCGGTGGCTGATTGCTCAAAATCGCGACGAGGAAGTCATCCAGACGCTGAACAACATCTCAATCAAGGCCCGGAGGCCCCATTCACTCACACTTGAAAAGTTGCAAGCGGAAGGGGTGGTCCTGCACACTGAGAAATCAGTTTGGTCCTCCCTGCGGCTGAAGATGCATTTCAAAGGCTTGTTCCAAACGAGAAAGCTGGCCTGGTCAACCACGCTCATCTTGTCCAACTGGTTTGTCATTGGCATGGTTTCGCCATTGTTCAGTGTCTTTTTGCCATTTTACCTCAAATCACGCGGGGCACAGTTTGGGAGCGGCTCCAACTACGCGACCTGGAGAGACTACGCCATCAACCATGTTGCCGGCCTCTTTGGTCCCATCATCGCAGCCGTATTGGTTGAGACCAAGTTTCTCGGGAGGCGCGGTACTCTGGCAACTGGCGCATTCATCACCATGTTGTTTCAGTTTGGATACACGCAAATCAGAACTGAGGCACAAAACGTCGGGGTATCCTCTGCGATATCCGCTGCATCGTGAGTGAGCTTGCAAAGGCCGTCCCGCTTTCCCCCTCGGAAGCTGATTATTCAACGCACTAGGAACATTTACTATGGGACCATCTATGCCTACACCCCCGAAATATTGCCGTCAGCTCACCGCGCAACCGGGTACGGCCTTTGTGTTGTTGTGAATAGGATAGGTGGAATCTTGGGCGTCCTGGTGGGAAGCTATGCAGACGTGGAGACGACGGCACCGTTGTTTGTCTGTGCAGCTCTGTTTGGGCTCTTGGTCGTTCTCAGCATACTGTTGCCTTTTGAATCCAGAGGGAAACGGAGTCAGTAGGCTGCCTAGACTGCATGGCACGGCCGTGTGAGCTGCGGCAGTTTGCCCAAGATGCTGGTAGAATGAATCTGGATGCGGCTTGTGAGCCTTGCAAGTCGCTCACTAGGGTTACTGACTGCGGAACCGGACTAGTATAGCAGCTATTAGTTAATTTTTAGATGCTGACCATCACATATGACCATAGCCGCTACATTGCTCACGATCCCGTCAAGCTCTTCCCCGCGGTTCCAATGTCTCCATGTTCTTATATACCTCCAGAAATAGAGGCTGTGGTGTCCGCTTTTGAAGGATAGCAAACCGGCAGATGGTGTGGTAGGATTACGGTAACCTACCGTCCCTACTGCACGGTTACGGCTGATTCATCTTCACCAATCGGCGACTGATACATGGGCACCCGCCTTTTGAGTGGCTTCAGCTGCCACCCTCATCTGCAGGCTCCTTTCAAGCTGACGTTTCTGACGACGGACTCCACACTTCCATGCAGCTCCTTCAGCCCAAAGGACAATTAAAACCGTAACGCGCTATGACACAATCGCGACCGGCTCCAGTCGCTCTGACGCGCATTGTACGATAAAGAATCTGGGTACTTGAACTCCACGACACCTAATGTTACGGCTAGTGTCGAGAGGGAGATGTTCCTGAAAGACTGGTTAGCGCCAGGAGTTGGCTCTAAGACGTGAACCTGTCCATGCTGGCACGCCTGCTGCACTCCCTTTGTACTTTCTCGGCTGAAGGGCATTCGTTATAGAGCCGGTTGGCATGTCTCATGTCGGGATGACAAGTCAGGTATATCCCAATCTGATCCTTGACTTCTCTCCGTCATACCTTTGGAAGAAAAATATCCAAGAATTGAAGACTTCTAAGTGTATTCGGGAACATTTCCACGTATAGAATTACAAAAAGAAATCAGAAAAAAGTGGACATGCTCTTAGTAGGACACTGGACTCTTCGCGAGGCTACTGTCGTTGGGCATATTGGGAGTCGTGAAGTTCTAAGGAACCTGATCGCAAAAAAATTGATTTCACCGATGCTGGCACATGTATGCTTCATTTTATAATAAGGCCTCAGCCTTGCTCCAAAAGGCTACCCACGGCAGACTGTGGTAGCACTTGAGGGTTCGCAGTCACGTGGCTGTAGGGACAGTTACCTTATGAGACACATTATTCATTAAGCTTCTCTCCTGAAAAATGTGATTGTTTTTTTTTTTAATTTTCTATTCTTGAGAAGGGTTCATGTCATTTATGATGATTTATCCTAAGTTTAGAAGACTTTCAAGGCACCTAATGAAACCATAGCGGCTGGCTAGGCTCTCAAACAACTGAATCAATTATTTTATGACATCCAGCAATTACGTCAAGTCTGCTTGTTCAACTAACGTAGGCAGCCTGATCCGACAAATGTCGGCCACCACAATTCTTGCGCCGATTCTAGCTTTACTTATTGTTTATCTACGTACGGCCGTTTCCTGCCTGAAACCTCCGAAGCGACTCGTATAGTTTAAGCCTTAAGAACCAATTTCTCCAAACCCAGGGGGCCAAGGGGAATTGACCGCCATCCTCGGGCAGCCCTCGAGAAAACACAATCCTAGAATCCAACGATCTATAAATAACCGTGGAACCACTGTCCCTTTGTCCGTGACAAAACCCTCATGCCTCAAGGACTCGGTTTCCTGGACGAATTCCAGAGGGAACCTAGTCTAATGGCTTTTCCACAATTAACAGCATGGACAAGCTCTGAAGCCATGGTGCGCATATAACTTTCAGCAAAGGTCTCAGAATATATTCCGCCTTACAACAAAAGACACGAGAGACGTTGCAAATAGTCTTTGATTCGGCGCTCAAGAGGAAAATGCCCGAGAGATCTTAGCACGTTTGCGAGCTGGGTTAATCGTTTCCGCTCATGCAGAACCAGCTTTCCCGCTGACTCCTCAATCCACGATGGCTCATTCTGCAGCACATGAAAGCAGATTAGCCTACCGAGATGCCAGATATAGCCTATTGTAAACACGCCGTCCATTGATAGTCTGCTGTGAATAAACCGGCAGCTTTTATTGAATGAAAGGCTTTGTAAACATTCAGGAGCATAAAATCCCTTAAAGCACTGGTTGCGAAGAAACTCAGATGCAGTCATCTGTGCCAATGAGCCATGGGCGTCTTTATTGCGTAGAATCACTCCGTCCAACAGACACATTGTTAACATTGCCAGGCTAATGCTCAAACCCTTCCGCACTAGCTTCTTCACATCCAGACGCACGGGGTACTGGCAACAATTGGCTGGTTCGCAGGCAAGACGTTGCAGCCACGAGGTTGCGTGCTCCTCAATTCAGAAATCGTGGACATAATGCAGCTTCAGAAACTACAGTCTACACATTACAAAGACGCTGCAGTCAAAGTCTTGATATTCGATGACAACCAATGGGTCGCGTTTGATGACGAGGAGACGCTTGGGCAAAAGGCCCAATTCGCAAGCTCCAAGTGGTATGTATGTCCGATGGTAATGCTCACAGCTTCACAACGCGCCAACTTGCTAACAATGTCTCTTTCTCTTGTGTGAAAGCTTGGGCGGCGTCATGGTCTGGGCCGTATCCCAACGACACGCAGAAGGCAACGTTTTCCAAGGCATTGGCCCGTAAAACCAGGCTGTCGAGGCCGTCAATCATGTATCTCGGCATGACAAATGGTCCGCAGATTTACAAAAGGATACAAGAGCATAAACAATGTCTATGGGCCAATTGCGGCGACTGTAAGTGAGCCATCGAGTTGCGTCGAGGGAAAAGGTGCAAAGCCATTGATGTGAGCTGACTCGAGTTGCCAAAACCAGCATGCCCTGCCGGATACACTGCCCAACGCCGGTCCGACTCGGGCGCGAGAACTGGCGAGTACATGCTCAATGATTCGGGGTGTCACAACAAGCAGCTCAAGGTGTTGTGCTGTCCATCGGATGAACCCAGCCCTTTATGTGGCTGGTACAATCATAACAATGGCAACTGCAACCCCAGTTGTCCCGCGGACGCCGTCGAGGTCGGCAGCACCACCTCGTCCTGCGGAAAGAGTGGCAGACAGGGCAAGAAGAAGTATCAAGCTGCTTGCTGCTCCAAAAACACACGCTGGCGGGAAACCGCTATGCTACCGCAAGAAAGCCTCCGGCTGGTTTCCCAATGCTCGTGGGGATCGTATCCCTTTTGTGACTTTGGCTGCTCCTCTGGATCCATGTTGGTGAGCTCTCTTGATGGCAGCGGCGGAGGAGCTTGTTGGAGCGGAGGGCTGGGTAGCCAGCACACCCGCCCGCTGTGTTGTCATCAGCCAGACACGGACTGGAAATACACCGACTGCCAGTGGTATCGTGACATTGGTGCCGGCTCTACCGCGTCAAGGGACTGTCGTAGTGGCTGCCCGGCCGACAAGGTGCAAGTCGCACTCAGTTCGGAAGGCTGTCGAGCAGGATCTTGGTCGTACTGTTGCAATCCCGTTGCCCAGGTACGAGACAAGCAGTAAGATCGCATGAAGGGTCGGTACGAATTAGCTCTGAACAACTACATGGAAAACCCGACTTGTCCAACCGAGGCAACCAAGAGTATAGGTCCGAGGGGCCTGGGAGAGGTGGGAAACTCGAGTCTTGTGGAACGCAAGTCGGAATTGGCCATGGAAACCCTCCGGACCATAGAAGGCCTTATCAGGACATTGGTCGAGCGTGAGGCCTTCGACTTGGCAGTGAGTGAAATCTGGACGCGTGTTGTGGTGCCCGTCTATCCTTATTTGACGGTTCCCAATATCCGTGACTGGATCAACGGCAACGTGCGCTTGATGCCCGCCGACCCATACAATACGGCGCTTGATTTGTACCTTCTCTGTCGTTTAGGACTCTCGGGCTGGAACCATGCCATGGCCGATGCCTTGAGCCGCCAGGACAAACTTGCTTGCACAACGACCAGTATTAGCATCTGCGACGCTACGAGGCCCTTGACACGCGGCCTCGATAAAAGAGCTAGACACGGCACCCAATGGTCCGTTACGATTGGCGGTGTAACACACGGGAGGTCGGGACAATCTCAGCTAGTGAGTGTATCTTATCCGTGGTCAACAAAACAACGTTGTGGCTGACGACGATTCGCAGTATCGGACCTCTAACGACTGGAGTATTCTAGATCCGTTGACAATTGAGATCTACGGTCAAGTGTTTTACTTTCCTACACGTGGATGTACCAACTTTGTGATTCGCACCATCAACGAAATAGACTGACGTCGGCAGGGGCCTATAAACGGTCTTGCGAGTAGGTCCAGTTTGATTACCGCTGTATGGCTTGAGCATACTGACCTGCGGTGTTAGCTGAACATCAAGTTGAGGTGCAGACGCTGGCGAGATGGTATGAGGACGCCATGCAAGGTCTCTTGTCGGGCGGAGGTGTCAACCCGGCGGGAGCCATCGATGCCCTGTTTTTCGACGATACCGTCATTAGGGCCGGGGCTGTACGAATAATACCGAACCCGCCGGGGGCAGCTTCCGGCGGCGCAGATCTGTGGACTGTCAAGGAGCGGCTCTATAATGCCCTCGGAAGCACCAGCAACGACGGCGTCTTTGTGCTAGCCGATGAACAGCTTAACTGCTTGAAGGCTATTGTAAGTCTCCTCATCAAAACCCGAGTCTCTCTCGCTAAATTTCGTTGTAGGTTTGGGCATGTAAAGAAAGCCTGATTCAGAACCGCATCATGAAACCCCTCCTTGCGTCGACTGACCCCGTACAGGCCGGTATTGCCCTGACACAGATAAGAAATGTGAGTGGCAGTGCCCAGATGTCATGTTAAGCCCATCTTTCCTTTTGAGTTAAGGCCCAGTAGCGATGCAGCGCGATGGTGTGTTGACTGCCCATTCATATGCCATCCCTTGACTTCTCTCTCTATACACCAACGCTCACATTGCCTAGGTCGTCTCGATATTCACTTACCTCAACCACGGTACTGTGCACTCTAACATGGCGACAGTCATCATGGACATTCGCCGCGAGCTGCGCATCGCCGAGAGGGTCCACGCGTTTCTTTTCCCCGGCCAACAAGTCGCCCTTTGCGACAGCTTCACCAATTGGATGAGCAGCCACTTCACAGGAATGCATACCAACATGGATAACTGGGTTACGGCAGGACTGGAGGTATTAGAGGCGCAGTGGCGGACGGATGCGGTAAATGGTCCTGCGATTATGTCGAGTATTAGTACGATACGGGTAGAAGCTCGCGCGCGGACAATGAACACGCAAGGGTTTTTCCTTAATGTGTGATGATATTTAACATGTTTCACATGCTAATACATGGGCACGAATTCAATAGAAACGAAGGCGCCGGGGTTGGCTATTATGCGCTATCACAGAGATGTAGACCGATGGACGGGGTTAACCCCAACCCCAACTCTGTTATTGAGGAGATGAACAATATATATACTTGACATGAAAAGCATTTAGCCCAAGAATTATATACATGGAAACGGCCTAAGAAAAATTACCTTTCCCTAGCTCGAGATAATAAGTCGCGTGTATTTTTCTGCCCCTTAGATTCTTGCAATTGAGCAAGGCATCTCTCCCGTCGTTTTATTCACATGTCCGGTGTGAGAGCGGGCGAGAAAGAAACACCTAACTGCCAAGGCACAACTTCCAGACGGAAGGAAACTGGACTCCTCTGAGACCTTAACTCGAGCGGGTTATATCACGTGTCGACTATTCCATCTATGAAAGAAATAAATCTACCTGGGAAAAGATCGCACAAACACAAACCCTACCAGACTTTTCCACAAACCGCTGACACCCGTTGGCAACCACTTTCATCAGGCACCATGGCAGAACAATCTTTTGCACCCATCACCACGGACCCTCCGGCCATATCATTCCCAGACGATTACATAAGAGAACGCAGCGAGCGGAGTCGCCCCTCGCGAAATTTCCTGGCTCTGCTTCGCGATCCGTCGTTGAATTCATACGTGCCGTACGCGTGGGGCTTCACCATCTATCGCGTTCGTTTCGAGGGCGACTCGGACGACCGATTCGCCAAAGCATTACGTCTCTTCTCCAAGTGGACGCAATGGCTTGTGCGGGCCTCCAAGTTCACGGAAGAAGGCACCAGAAACTTGTTCCCGGCAGATGTGCCTGTGCCGTCAGACGACCCGACAGATGACCTGGCTGATCGTCTGTACAACCAATTCATTGAGGTCTACCCAATGCCGATTCAATCGTCACCGGCCCCGAGGGCGAGGAAGACTTCAGCGCTGTTGGAGAGGCCTTCACGAAATGGGTAGACGCACTAGGCATTAATCTGACGCTGTCCAAGAACAACACTCGCCACGACCAGTGTCTCATCATCGACAAGCAGGCTCTAGAGACTCTCGAGCGGCTACCAGAGGACCTGCCACCTTTGCGTTCTGAACGAATCTCTCATCCAAAATGTCTAGAGGTAAATCGCATTTATAATAAGACCTGGGTATGGGTACTGGACAGAAAGACCTACGAGGCCTATTCAAGGGGAGACAAGTTCAAATACCCACCTCGGACTCGATTGCGCATCATGTTCTTGCTGGAGTGCTGGTTTGGGAGGTCGGACGGCTCAGTCTCTGGGGACTGGAACCGGGTTGTTGAAGAGAATTTGTATAAGTGGGAGACTGTACGATGGTGGAGCCCTGGTGCTATCATGATGAATAGGATTTGTAAAGAAATGCGAGATGCTGGCGAAATTCCAGCTCGACCTGCCCAAGTTGAGGGTTAGGACATGAAGCCTCACAGCCTCGAGGCATTCATTCACAAGTCGCTTCGGCATCACCTCGGCAGCCCTCTTGAGCTGCCGCAATGCCGTCTGGATTTCTATTTATTCCGCCTCTGCTTACATACTCAAGGCTGGATGGAATATGCACTAGCAATGGAGGAGGTAACAGTACTAGTATCGAGAAGCATTCCGGACCACATCGGGAGAGATCAAGCCAACATGCCATAACATAGGCTTGGCGAAAGACAGGGGGAAGTAGCAGGCTATTATAGGAGGAGAATTAGGAAGATTTTTGACCGCCTTCCACTATTCGCGATAGGAAACTGTGAGAAACCATAAATTCTCAGTCCAAGGTAATAATTAGTCAAGAACCCCTAGGAATTACGGTCACGAGAGATTATACGGCTTACTCAAATGGGAGACGAAACAACGTGGGTACCGAACGGCGGTATTACCGTGTACACTTAGCTATTAGCCAGGATAAAAAGCCTGAATCCTGCAACTATTTGAACCAGGGGTTATGTCGTGCAAGGGAGGCTGGTGGCTCTAACGCAGTACGGAACATGTATCGCACCGTTGTTAGCGGATCCGTATTCTTTAGCATCCACGTGAAATACGGCGGCGAACTCACGCCTGAGTTAGGGTGAGGGTTAGGGTTGAAGTCCATTAGTAACCATGTTTCGCCCGAGCAAGACGTTGTCTGCCTGCTAGAGCTAGACAAACCTCTCGTCAATGAAATCGGCAAGGAGGACTTCAATAAGCTCACGAAGCTTATGGTGAGCCTGGAAACAACCAGAGTTATCTGGCTTACTCGATCCTGTTCCATGCGCGTCACAGATCCTCGTTTCGCACTAACACTGGGCTTATCGAGGACGCTGCGCTCGGAAAGGCACATTAACTTAACCACACTTGAGATCGACGATATCAGCCACCCCAACATGCCTGCCAAGGCACTTTAGATCTATGAGCAGACCTTGGACCGGTCAAAAGACGTCGAGCTCGATCCAGACTATGAATTTGCCATCGAAAACGGGGTCATCTACTTACCCCGATACCATTGGTACTCCCCCAGAAGAACGGCGCAAATCAACTGCCTCGACCACCGACAAGCTCCTCATGATTGGTGAGAAGGGCATGATTGACAGCCTGCGGTGGGAAGAAAACTGGAGGATAAAGAGACCCCTCCGAGAAGGCGAGGTGCTTCTGAAGCCGCACACAGTCGGCATCAATTTCAAGCATATCCTGACGGCCTAGGGTGTCGTTGATGGCAGCGACCTGGGCGGCGGGTGCTCCGGCACGATTTTGGAGGTTGGACCGGGCGTGACCAGGTTTGCGCCCGGCGACCGAATCTTCACAATCGCATCCTACTGCTTCTCCAATAAGCTCATCGCCAGCTAGGATCTCCTGGCCAAGATTCCCGGCGGCCTTAGCATAGAGGGTACCGGCACCATGGGCACCGTCTTCACAACAGCCATCTACGCCCTGTGCCACCTGCGCCGCCCTGAAAAGGGGCAGACTATTCTCATCCACTCTGCCTGCGGCGCCGTTGGCATCGCCGCGATTCAGATTGCCTAGATGGTCGGCGCCTGAATCCTCGCCACTGTTGGCAACCGGGAGAAGGTACAGTACATCATGGACAGCTTTAACATCCCCCGTTATCACATCTTTGACTCTCACAGCAATTCATTCGTGAGGGACGTGATGGCGGCTATAGCTGTCTAAGGAGTCGACATTGCTCTCAACTCTCTTGCCGGCGAACTGCTTCACTTAACGTGGCGGTGCATCGCGCCCTTCGGCGCCATGATCGAGATTGGAAAGCGTGACCTCTATGGCCACGGCAAGGTCGACATGCACGGATGTACCGAGAACCGGGCCTTCTTTGGCCTCGATGCCCACCACATGTAAACTGCTCGTCCCGCTGTCTGTGGTCAGATGCTGCGCGAGTGCGCCAGTTATTTCGAACAGGGCCTTGTCAAGCTAATACCGACCTTCATGACTGTCCCCGCCGAGAATGTCGTGGATGCCTTCCGTCACATGCAAAAGGGCACACATATCGGCAAGTTTGCAGTCACCGTGCCGACAGACTTGTCCCACCTCCCGGTCAGCGCCGGCGACCCCAGCCTCGAGCTTTGACACGACGCGGGCTACCTCGTGGGGGGTCTCAGGGGCGTTGGTCGTTCCATCGCCTCTTGGTACGTCAGTAACGGTGCGAAGAAACTCGTCTTTTCCTCGCGATAGGGCCGCTCCGAGAAGCACGATGACTTTTGCAAGGAGCTCGAGGTCATGGGCTGCAAGGTGCAGGTTCTCCAGGGTTCTGTTGCCGACCCCGAGGACGTCAAGCGAGCGGTTGCCGAAGCCTGCGCCCCTATCCGCGGTGTCGTGCAGCTTTCCATGGCTCTTCAGGATCGCTCCATTGATGGTATGGCGTACGAGGACTGGTACACTGCTGTCCGGCCCAAGGTCAACGGCACCTGAACCTGCACAACACACTGGGGTCTGATCTGGAATTTTTCGTCCTGTTCGCTTCCATCAGCGGTCTCGTAGGCCAGTACGGCCAGGCCATCTATGCAGCTGCCAACACGTTCCTCGACGCTTTTGTACAGTACCGCCAGGGCCAAGGTCTGCCTGCCTCCGTCATCGATCTCGGTGTCATGGAGGATGTTGGTTGCGTGTCCCAGTCCTCTGAACTCCTCGACTACTTCCGCTTCCTGGATGCCGACCTTCCCAGCGAGGAAGCCATGCGGAGGGGTGTTCGGCTTGCCATTTCTCGCTCATTCCCCCGCCCGCAGGAACACGCTACACAGAAGTACAGCAATCCCAACCAGATCGCCCTTGGAGTATCCTCTCGTCTTCCCATCTAGGGCCCCAAGAACCGTAGTATATGGAAGCGCGATCGCCGATTTTCCATCTACCATGGCATCTCCGCGTCTACTAGGCCACGTTTCTCAACGACAGACGAGAGCCTAAAGTCATTCCTCAACCAGCTAGCTTCCAGGGGCGCAGGTGGTCTAGATGATGACAAGGCCGAGTACCTAGCCAAGGAGATTGGCAAGACTTTGTACGGATTCATGATGAAGAATCCAAATGACATGGAGATGGATCAGCCGCTTTCCACTCTGGGGTTGGACAGTCTTGTCGGCATCGAGGTGCAGAGCACAGATCGGATTGGAGATGAGCATCCTGAACATCATGCAGAGCACATTGAGGGTAATTGGCAAAAAGGCTCTTGATTCCTTGGCAGCCAAATATGCTCGAGGAAAGGGACAAAACCTACGAGGAGCAGTGCATTTATTATAAGTTAGGTTTGACATTGCTAGGGAATTGGTAGAAACACGACGCTATTCATTCTTCGCCTTGATTGGCCGAATTTTGGATTCCTAGCGTTTGTGGTTTCTAAGAGCGATGACTAATCACTTGTCAACTCGCGGGTAAGGGGGCCCAATAGGTGTACCGCCGGCGGTGCGAATAAAGTTTACGTAACGGCGCACCACCGGCGGGCCTCCAGCTGCCACGGACCCGTGGCTGCAAGTGGGACTACTCCCAAGCTGGCCAATGGCATCGCGCGGGTCGCTGAATTCCTCCACACACTGGTTAAATCAAGCTGCGATGTGCGGCTAGATTCCTCCACACAGTATATATAAAATTAAGTTTATTTAAACGTAAAGGCTATAAGCTTACTAGTAATAGTTTTAGGAGATAAGAAGCATTATCTTAGTAGTGTATAGGTATACTAGTTAAGTATCGCTTATACGTGTTTATAAGATTCTTTAGAATACTAGTAATAATCTTCTTTAAGTTTATCTTAGCCAGAGCATTAGAAGTAGTGTAGTTTTATAGTTTTGTAGTTTTTATAGTTTCAAATATAAAAAATTATATTAAATCTAATAAAATACTTATAGAATTATAAACTATTATAAGCCTAAAACTTTAAAAACTACATTTTGTAGTTTTTGTAGTGTAGTGTAATGTAGTGTATTTTTAGAAAATTATATAATCTAGTTTTTAAGCTTATAATAAGCTATAAGGACCCACTTTTTTTATAAGCTGGTTATAATATTAGCTAACTTATGTATTTATTATTATAATTCAAGTATTTTATTAGATTTATTATTAATTATTTAAGCTTTTTTGAAAATTAAAAATGTAGTTTTCTTGTTAATACTCTAATCTTAGCAGTAAGAAAGCTTATCTTAAGTAGAGCTCTAAATGTATTATATACTTTGTATTTTCTACTATACTATATTATAAGATAAAAATACCTATAAATGTATTATAAGCCTATAAAATATTTAATATTTTAGATAAATACTTATATAAGCATATTATATATTAAAATAAAGCTAAAAATTACGTGATTTTAAATCCTTAAAAATTAACCTTAAAATACAAATATTTAGCGAGATATTAAGCTTTTAATCTCTTATTTTAAAAAAGTAAATCTTAATTTTTAGCTAAGATTTAACCTATTATAACTCGCTTAATTTATTAGTTATACGTATAAAGGCTAATGCATTATAAAGAGCTAAATTAGCTCTATTTAAGTATAATAATTATAA